AAACTTAGATATTTCATCGTTTCATTGCAGCATCCTGTCAAAACTTTACTTTACTTTATCATAATTCTTCTCTTTGCAACTTTGATATAGTTATTGCTCGCCCTAGAACTCCTTTTTGCTCTGCATACAAGGGGCTTTTGGCATGTACACTCTATTATATTCCTTTATTAAACCATGTATCGTGTCAAAATAAATTTATTATTATTATTATTATTATTATTATTATTATTATTATTATTATTATTATTATTATTATTATTATTATTATTATTATTATTATTATTAAAAGAAATTCTTCGTTGGTACAGTCGTATTCTTCAAGAGAGAGTGTGTGGTGGGGCAGAATTAAATTGAGGAAGTAAACAAGTGGAGCTGAAGGAAACGAAAAAGTTTGCCACGAACAAAGTGTCAGAGTAATGGGAAGAAATAATGGAGAAATTATTTAGTGCGTCAACGAATGTACAATAAAAAAAATGACGAAAACGTTACTGAAGGCAAAACACGGTGAGCACTGCACTGCTTCTGCAGCTACATACAAGTCATTACTAATTACACATCACAGACGTACCTTGAAGCAGAGTCTGAGTCTCTGTCTTGTCTGCTTCTGCACTGTACCCTTGTGGCTCTGCTGTACAGTGACGAGAAGGGAGCGTACCGTCAGCACGAAGAATACCAGGTCAGCCACCAGTAGCACTGCCACCGGACCGAAGAAATAAGCCCACTTGGCACCGTTATTATGGGTCACAGTGTCTGAGGGAACGCAGGTGTATGTGAGGGTCTCGAAGATTTTGGATAGTAAAGGCAAGTTTGATATTGGACTACAGTTGTTTACAGTTGTTGGGTCTCCACCTTCGTGTATTAGTGTAACCATTACTATGGCCTACTGCAGTGTTCCTCCTTTCTTATGTTCTTATGTTAAGTAATATTGGGAAAGTGCTGGTTTCTAGTGTCAACAAAACTTGGATGCATCTGAGCTGTGCTACTACCATATTCTAATTATAATAATAGTTTGCGAGCACCCACAGTGTGCTGCCACCCTATTTTATATGTTAAATATATCGTGGAAAGACCCACAGTGTGCGGTTACCTTATTTCGTATGATGGTTACATTGTGTTCAAACATTACTTTTCCTGATATGATTTAATCGTTTCCCGAAAAGTCTCACATACGTTCCTCCTCACCAGGTTTATGCCCAATTTTAAAAGCCCTATCTTCCTTTAAAATATTTTTACTTCCCAAAACATACAACTCCCATTTTTAAAAGCACCACATAAAACACAGTGAATTTTATCTATCATCAATCGGTAATTTAAACCTTGGCAATTAACATACTATCTCGAAAAAATTTACCTAGGTTTTTATTCCCTTAATATACACTTGGTTTTTTTCCCTCCATTAAAACTAAAATTTCCCTTTCATTTTACTCTTTTAATAATTTATTAACGCAAACTTCTTTCATTTTTAAATGAAAAATTTACTCCAAAAACTTTTTTATTTTCCAGTATACAACACCAAAAAATTTATTTCTCTTTCATGTTAAATTTTTAAACCCCCTTTTTGTTAAATATTTTTCGGCTTTTATACTGTAATCCAATCCCCACCTTTCAACTTTCCTTTTACCAATTTACTTCCTTCTCGAAACACTTCTGTACCTTTAAAATTCGGAAAATAAACCCTTACAAAAACTACCAAAATTTCTTGGACCCATTGCAGGGCTAATTCCTTATTAAAGCGCAAAAAAAACAAACGGCCGTAAAACCTTCCTCCCTCTCTCCATGATTTCCCTTCTGATACCCACACACACAAGTGTAAGTAAAAAAAAATTCGGTATAATTTCCTGAAACTCTTTTTCCCCACATTTTTTCCATACTATTAAATTTCTATTTTCCATCAATATTATACTATTTATCTCCATAAAATTTTGCAATTAAAATACCTCCTTTACAAATTCATTAGTTTTAAAATTTAATTTTCCTGTTACCTCAATTTAAATTATCCAAATTTTTGAAAATTTCTTTTAACGGTAAAAAAAATTCTTTTTTAGGGCCCAAATTTATTTCTTATTCTTAAAAAACTTCTTTTTGTTTTTTTATGGTGTAGTTTTTTAAAAATTTGTTTTTTTTTTGGTTTGTTTTTTGTTTTTTTGTTTTTTTTTGTTATTTTTTTTTGTTTTTTTGTTTTTGGTTGTTTAAACCCCCTTTATCAACCAAAGGTAAACTTTCTCCCTTAAAAAAACTTGGTTTGGTTAAGAGGCCACCAACTCCCCATCAATTTTTTTTCTTGTATGACTAAAAACCAAAACCGGAAATTTTTACCACAATAAAGCGGGCTTTCAAAAAAGAAAGTCCCATGGCATACCCCATGCACCTCCTAGGGGAAAAAATCTTCATTGGCAATAAAAAAAAAAAATGTGAAAATTTAAAGAATAAAAAAAAAAAAGGAATTATTTAGGGCTAAAAAGGTGGGAATGTATTAGCCCCCAAAGACCGGGGACTACCCCGGTTTAGGGGGCAGAAAAAGTTAAAAAAAAAGGGAACTACAAAGAAAACGAAGGGCAAAGTAGGAGCGACCCCCGGGGATGGGGCCAATTTTACCTTAAAAAAAATTTTAAATTTTAATTTATATATCTATAATATCTATATATTATATATTAATATATATAATATATTTTTAAATATATATATTTTTTATATTATAATTTAATATAAATATATTTTTATATATATATTATATATTATAATTATATATATTGTGTGTGTGTGTGGTTTTGGTGTGTGTGGTGTGTGTGTGTGTGTTGTGTGTGTGGTGTGTGTTTGTGTGTGTGTGTGTGTGTGTGTGTGTGTGTGTGTTATTCAGGTTTGATTCTAATCTGATGCAAAAAAAGAATCAATTCCCCTAGGCCCCATTGTAAGAATCTCCCAACCCGAAATAATGCAACCCTCGCATACAAAACCCCCAGGTTACCCAATCAAAAATAAAACGTGCTTTCGTTCTTGTTGGCCCCTTCTTTTTCGGCTGGGACCGGAGGTTGACGATAAAGGGAAGACCAGTATGAAGAATCAAGATGGCGGGAAGGGAGTACATGTAGCTTACCTCTGTTTCTCCATCTTGCCCAAGTTCCCACTTTCGCTGAAGCAAAACCCTGCCCCTTGCTTCCCCTCCCCTGCGGGTACATACCTGGCCACCAAGGTGTCCCTCTTCCCACAATCTAACACCAAAGTACTGTGAAAAAGGTACATGTGCAACCCCTAGAGCATTATTCGGCACTAGAACTGATGGGCCAAATTTCTCTCATAAAGATACCCATTTGTTACACATGTGTCTTTTTTTTCAGAGTCAACTTTATCTTTTTTTATCATAAAACAAAAACCTTATTTTGTAGGGTGCATTTTTCTTGAAATGTGGAAAGGAGTACTATCGTCAATTTATACAAAAAGTGTGACTGACCTTTTCGTATAATTGATTCCTCTCTCTCTCCTCTCTCTTTCACCCTTCTCTCTCTCTCTCTCTCTCTCTCTCTCTCCCTCCTCCTCCCTCTCTCTCTCTCTTTTTTCCCCCCTCTCTCTCTCTCTTCTCTCTCTCTCTCCCCCAATATTTTTTATTTTTTTTTTTAACAATCGGCCGCTTTCCACGGTACGGTGGCCCAAAAAGGAAAAAACCCTTCATCATCATTCCTCCATCCTGTCTTGCCAGGGCCGCTTACACTCTTTAAAAAACTGAAAAAAATAAATCCCCCCTTTCAGAGTGAAAAACCCCTGTATTCCCATCTCCAGGATCAAGGGCCTGGCCGGTTTCCTGAATCCCCAATAAATTTTACCTTGACTCCAACAGCACGTCAATCCCAAAAAAAAACCCCATTTGTCTCCATTCCCTTACAACACGTTCCACTCGCGTCGGCTGCTCCCACGTAAAAATATTTTAACAAAAAGTGGGGGGTTTTTAAGTTTTTGTTCGCTCTAATTGGATATTCTAAAACCTAAAATCCTTTGACTTTTGTCATAACTTTCTTTTCCCTACTGATGAGAACTAGAAACTAGCCTAGCCTCTCCCATGCTAGAAAAACCGTTTCACATTTCAACTCTTTCACTCCTCTGGGGAAGGGGGCTGGGGATTTTTTTTTTTCATTCCTGGATGAGGGAGATTAAACATTTTGGGGACAGAGGCAAAATCATCCATTCCTTGTGCCCGAAAGGTTAAATTTGGGCCTCAGAAAAATATAACGTTTTTCTCCATAAATTAATCCCCTTAATTCAAAAAAATCTAATAATGTTGAAAAACGAACCAGGGATCAATCCCCACCTGTTTTTTGGTTAAATAATCCCCATTTTTGGGTTAAAAGTATTTTGACTGGTAGTGTCGGGGTAAACACCCTTTGATGATTCTCACACAGTCTAAAACCTTTCCCGAATAAATAAACCCTTTCCACACAAAACTCTCCCCGGGGGTTGGTAAAACCTTCCCTTGGTTCACATCACCCGTGTTGTTACTGAGTACGCAGAGAGCCGGCCCAGTACTCCACGTATCGTTGGAGTGGTAAAACGGCTTCACATTTCAGGGAAACCCCATACCATAGTCAGCACCCAGCACTGAAAAACCCATAGGGGGAAAATATTATTACGCGGCTGTTGCGGCATTATTCGGGTTTTAAAATTTTATGTTCAAAAGAAAAAAAAAAGACACATACCCGTGGGGGAACAATACACATACCCCGAACTTGGGAGAGAGGAGCTTACCCGACTTTCCCGGACTGACTTAGACCATTTACAAAGAAATTGGTAGTTTATTTGTGATTATGCTGGAGTTACCCCCCCTTTTTTTTTCCACAAATTTGATTCCCTTTCCCAAAACCTTTAAGAATCCATATTTCCTATTAAATATAAGAAAACAATCATATTGAATATAATCGGATTTGAGAATTTACTCATGTGAACCATCATACATGGTAGGTTACGAGCCACGTATGGAAAAAATAGCAAGCTAATGATGTATAATGAAAAAAAAATATAAAAAGTATACAAAAAAATTTTTATATAACTGGGTCAGTAGCCAGGAGCCCCAAACCGAGTTAAAATTTTTCTGTAAGTTTTGGGCCCCCACCGAGGTTAATCAACAGACAGACCTGTAAAAGGGCCTCAGGTAAGCATAAAAAAAATTTTATTACGAAATACCTTTTCAGGACGACCTAATCCCAAAGAAATTTTTTTTTTAAAGTTATGGATAAAAATTTATTATTTTTTAAATATTTATTTATTTTTATATATATATATAATAATAATTTTTATAAATTTTTTTTTTTTTGAATTTTTTAAAAATAATTAAAAAAATAATAAAAAAAAATAATTTTAATAATAATTAATTTTTTTTAAATAATTAATTTTATATTAATAAATTTTAAAATTATTTTTAATATTTGAATGGGTGTGTTTTGAGTTCGCTATTACTAGGAAGGACTCCCATTCCCCGGGGAGCTAGGGCGGGTAAACATTTGGGTCCCAAAATGAAGGTTTTTACTCTTTTGTGGAAAAAAGGTTTTTGAAAAGGTGCATCATGACCCCCCCCTGACAACTTGGGTGCAAGTTTTTTAAATGGGGGGGTTGAAAATCTGCAGTGTCTTCTTTTTTACCACCTGGGACCCGTCCCTTTTGGAGAAAGTTGAAGGGCCCCGGGATTACTGTCGGGGGTCTAAAAGGGTCCAGGGGAAGAGTCAAAATTGTAACAGTTTTAAAACAAAATTAAGGGAAAACTTTTAAATAATTGTTCAAAGTGAATTAAGAAAAAAAAACTTGTCTTTGAATTTTTAAACAAACCCTTTTCAAGGGGGCAAGAAATGTTGAAATATGGAAAAAACTTTTGATACAGAATTCATTTTTTTTCTCCCAAGGAAAGGGGCCATTTTGGAATCCTGCACAAACTGGTTCGGGATAAGATCCGGGGGGCAACAAAAAAGGTTCCCAGTTTGTTTCCCGTGAAAGGCTAACCTGCCTTTAATCTTCACCCGAGCTGAACACAATAAAAGGGGAAAAAACCAAAAAAAGTGTGTTCTGTTGGGGAAAAAAATTTTCCTTTGATATTTTTTCCTATTTTTAAGGCCCACGAGAAAAATCTGGTTTTAAAAAAAATAAAAACAAGAAAGGGAAAAAGAAACCCGGTTTTTTTTGTTTGTTTTTTTTAAAAGAAAAAGAACGGCTAAAATCACTAAACGGGGTTTTTAAAAACGGGTTTTCTAAGTTTTAACCTCGGAGGTTCTTTTAAAAGGTATGCAACAAGCAATTTAGAATAAACCGGCAAGAATAAATCAAATGCATAACAAGTCCTCCAGGAATGCGGTTAAACAATGGTTGGAAAACGAAATGCTTGTTTGTTTTTTGAACCCATTTGATTTTTTTACTTAACCTTTAAAAAACAAGAGGAAAAAAAATTTGGGCACTTTAAAAAAAATTAAATAAAAATGGAAAAAAACTTTTAAATTTTTTTTTTTGGGGTTGGAAAAAAAAAATAAAAAAAAATAGTTCCCCCGGAAAAGGGGGGGGAAGGAACCAAAAAAGTTTGGGAATTTTTTTTTTAAAAACCCCCAAAAATGGGTTTGCAACCCCCCTGGGTTTAATTCCGGGTTTTTTCCCTTTATTTTGAAAAGTTTTAGCCCAAAAAAACCTTTTGTTTTTTTTTGGTTTCCCAAAAAAAACGGGGGGGAAAACCCCTTTAAATTAAAAATTTAAAATTTTTTTAATGGTTTGAAAGGGAAATTTCCAAAAAAAGGGGAAAACGGGGGAAAGGGAATCGTCCCTCAATGTTTAAAAGAATTTTTTTTCAAGATGGCAGACCCGACCACATTTACTCCTTCCCTCTTCTTTTTTCTTTTTTGTATGAAATCACGAAACCACTGTGTGGAGACAGGTTTCTTCAATAAAGCACCCAAGCGTTGAATGTATTTAATCATCAAAACTGTTTTTTGAAATATTCCTCTTTAGGGTTTAAAATTTAAACCAAATTTTAAAAATAAAAGGGTCCCATTGTCATGAAGATAAAAAACAGTAAAAGCAACATTATATTTGAAAGTTAACTTCAGTCAGGTTATAAAAACCAGGTAGCCTAGCAAAATTTTCTGCCACACCGATTCATTGATATATATTTAGAATATTTTGTATTGTATTTGACAAAAACTTAACTCAGTGGGTTTTTCACGCAAAAAAAAAGAAGGAGTTTCATCCATTTCCTCAGAAACATCCCTAAATTTACATTAAAATTTTTTTTGATGTTAGTGAATATAAATGCAGTTAATGCCCTGATTTCTAGATTTTTGATTTGCAAAAGTTTGACTTACCTGGACTTTGGGAAACCAAATCGTGATGTTTAGAGTAAGGTGGTGACGTACCAACCAGCTGCACTCTCCTGACTTCGATGGTGACCGATTGGGAGAGCCACGGCACGTCCGTCAGGTTTGGGTCTGGGGGACAGCTGTGGTTGGTCGTACCCTGAGGGGGAGAGGACGTGTTTTAAAGTGTGTGTGGTTTTTGGTTCGAGACCGCCCCCCCTGGCCTTTTTTTTTTGCTTTCCCAAAACCCAATTTTCTTATTCATGAAGAAACGCTATTTCATGGTTAAAACTTCCATCAAAAGTTTGTCAGGAAAATCCCCCGCAAAATCAACACTAAAATAGGGTGTACCCGACCATGCAAAAGGTTCAGCAAGACCTATATAGAAAAAACAATAGGGAAACATTAACACTCCAAGAACACAAATAAGGTGTAACCTGGACGGCCCAGCAAATGCTTGTGTCATACGCAGGGTTGAAGAGAGCCCCTTTCACACTGGAACAAAAGTATCAAGGTCTCCGGGGGTTTCCGACCGGGCTAGGTAACATTGATCGAAAAATCCTTAACTGCTAGTTCCTCACCACGGAACAAAGGGGCTTATAAAAACATTACCTCTAGCTACTTCCCGGGTGCTAGTACACGAAATTAAGACTCAACGCCCTTGCCTACCTCACCTATGACTTCATAACCCCTTTTTTTAATGTTTTCTCATTTTTTGTATGATTTTGATGAAAGAGTCAGTGTGTAGCGTTTCAGTAAAGACATCTTTAAAACACCCCCTTGTGAATAATGAACCATTTAAAACAGGTTTACTCACACCCACAACCTATTCCCCCATGTACTTCTAAAACCCACATTTAAAGTGTCTAAAGAATTCACTTTTGTGTTTGGCTGTTCTACTGTCTACGACTCTGTTGCTTCACCCTTTCTTCCTTCCTGGTATTGTTTTTTTTAAATTTCATATGTTCGACGATTTTCTAGGTTTGTTCGGTGTGGTACTTGGTTTAAATAATTTTTCCTGTAGTTTTAGGACGGCTTGCCCTGGGTTCCATTCCCCTTTCCCATCTGTAGTAGTTGATCCTTTTTATTACATATTAGTTACCAGTTCTCAGGACTAAAGTCTACTTTCACGTAAGATAGTATTTGTAATTCACTGTGTAGCAAAAATAGTTTTTGCTGTTTTTGGGGACCGGAAAATTTTTAAAGGAATGCGTCTCGAAAAACGTCACGGAACTAAAGGAACTGAGGATGTCAGAGAGTCGAAATGCTGTTAAAATAACAGCTTATAATATTATATTCATAAGATAACTCGGATTTCAAGTGCCTGGGGAATACAAGAATGATCCCTGAAGGGAAGAGTAAGTTCAGTTTTCCTTTAGGAAGAGCCATTACCGAAACAAAAAATCTCACGAGGGCGCAAAGGGGCTGATTTTCAAGAAACTGAAAATTATTTTAGGGAGGTCAAGGTGACGGGGGAGACCTGATGGCCGGCCGAGGAAGAGAAAAAACGAGGCTGTGGAAAATAGCTGGTGGTCCAGCGCCCCGACATGGGGGGAGAGGTAATGTCATGATACCAGGGCCCAGTAATTTTGTTAAGTGTGTCGTACTACCCAAATTAGCTTCCTGGTTCGCTCTGAAGTCTCGTGTCGAAATTGGTCAGTAGATGTTTTTACAAATAGATTAGGGCAATAAAAATTTTTAACGTTTAAAAGGGGTTTCCCCGTTAAAGCAAAAGTATACAAAAAAAAATTTTGTCATGATTTGAGAATATTTGAAATTAGTGGGAGGGGACTCGAATTGCACATAAATCTTGTCAGTAGATAAGACTAAGGAACTAAAAAAAATAAGGTTAAATTTTTTTAAAAAAATTTCGTTTAAACAACTCTAAAAAAAAAGTTCAGTGGTCTGGAAACACTTTGCCCGGGTGACGCAAGGAGACATAAAAAACCGTCACTAACCTCGTTATGCATACAACATTTCCTGACGGGGATCTTTGAGGGGTCAAAGGTCTCCACTTCAGTCTCCAGGATGCACACCATGGCTCCCTGGATGTGTGGAGAGCCCTTGACGCTGGTGTTGGCCACGAAGTTCTCCAGGCAGTAGTGATCCGGGTCATAATATTTTTCGTACTCGGGCACCCACAGCTGACCTGTATCCAGCACCCGGAAGTCGAACTCGGGCTTCTTGCCGGGTACGACGTCGAGCAAGTACCTCTCACACTCCAGCATCTCCGTCTGCAACTCCACCTGTGGTATACGTTACACTGTTGGTTTAGAAAGACACGTAAGCAAACACCAAGACATATTAGAAAACGTTTCGGTCCTGGGACCTTGATCACTTCTAACAGAGGTTTAAAAAGACAGTATATATATATATAAGGCCGAGAGTGAGGTGTGACACATGGTAACCTGAAGAATGACATATTGGGATGAGGACAGGCAGACAATGAGATCATGTGACTCCTGTGTTGTTGAAAATTGAAAATTGATAAGTTTTATTTTCTTGCTAAGCTTACAATGAGTGGTTTACGTATTATAAGATATTAATTACAAAGCCACTAGCATGCCTAGGTATTTCGAGGTGCCTAGTGCTTTGCCAACTTGTCGGTATCTATTACCTGGAGTTTACCTGGAGAGAGTTCCGGGGGTCAACGCCCCCGCGGCCCGGTCTGTAACCAGGCCTCCTGGTGGATCAGAGCCTGATCAACCAGGCTGTTGCTGCTGGCTGCACGCAAACCAACGTACGAGCCACAGCCCGGCTGGTCAGGAACCGACTTTAGGTGCTTGTCCAGTGCCAGCTTGAAGACTGCCAGGGGTCTGTTGGTAATCCCCCTTATGTATGCTGGGAGGCAGTTGAACAGTCTCGGGCCCCTGACACTTATTGTATGGTCTCCTAACGTGCTAGTGACACCCCTGCTTTTCATTGGGGGGATGTTGCATCGTCTGCCAAGTCTTTTGCTTTCGTAGTGAGTGATTTTCGTGTGCAAGTTCGGTACTAGTCCCTCTAGGATTTTCCAGGTGTAAATAATCATGTATCTCTCCCGCCTGCGTTCCAGGGAATACAGTTTTAGGAACCTCAAACGCTCCCAGTAATTGAGGTGTTTTATCTCCGTTATGCGCGCCGTGAAGGTTCTCTGTACATTTTCTAGGTCAGCAATTTCACCTGCCTTGAAAGGTGCTGTTAGTGCGCAGCAATATTCCAGCCTACATAGAACAAGTGACCTGAAGAGTGTCATCATGGGCTTGGCATCCCTAGCAGATGCGATTGATACAATGTTATGGTCCTTGAAGGTGAGATCCTCCGACATGATCACTCCCAGGTCTTTGACGTTGGTGTTTCGCTCTATTTGTGGCCAGAATTTGTTTTTGTACTCTGATGAAGATTTAATTTCCTTGTGTTTACCATATCTGAGTAATTGAAATTTCTCATCGTTGAACTTCATATTGTTTTCTGCAGCCCACTGAAAGATTCGGTTGATGTCCGCCTGGAGCCTTGCAGTGTCTGCAATGGAAGAGACTGTCATGCAGATTCGGGTGTCATCTGCAAAGGAAGACACGGTGCTGTGGCTGACATCCTTGTCTATGTCGGATATGAGGATGAGGAACAAGATGGGAGCGAGTACTGTGCCTAGTGGAACAGAGCTTTTCACCGTAGCTGCCTCGGACTTGACTCTGTTGACGACTACTCTCTGTGTTCTGTTAGTGAGGAAATTATAGATCCATCGACCGACTTTTCCTGTTATTCCTTTAGCACGCATTTTGTGCGCTATTACGCCATGGTCACACTTGTCGAAGGCTTTTGCAAAGTCTGTATATATTACATCTGCATTCTTTTTATCTTCTAGTGCATTTAGGACCTTGTCGTAGTGATCCAATAGTTGAGACAGACAGGAGCGACCTGTTCTAAACCCATGTTGCCCTGGGTTGTGTAACTGATGGGTTTCTAGATGGGTGGTGATCTTGCTTCTTAGGACCCTTTCAAAGAGTTTTATGATATGGGATGTTAGTGCTATCGGTCTGTAGTTCTTTGCTGTTGCTTTACTGCCCCCTTTGTGGAGTGGGGCTATGTCTGTTGTTTTTAGTAACTGTGGGACGACCCCCGTGTCCATGCTCCCTCTCAATAGGAAAAGGCTCCATAGGAAAAGGCTCGTGATAGGAGCTTCTTGCAGTTCTTGATGAACACGGAGTTCCATGAGTCTGGCCCTGGGGCAGAGTGCATGGGCATGTCATTTATCGCCTGTTCGAAGTCATTTGGCGTCAGGATAACATCGGATAGGCTTGTGTTAACCAAATTTTGTGGCTCTCTCATAAAAAATTCATTTTGATCTTCGACTCTCAGTCTGGTTAGCGGCTTGCTAAAAACTGAGTCATATTGGGACTTGAGTAGCTCACTCATTTCCTTGCTGTCATCTGTGTAGGACCCATCTTGTTTAAGTAGGGGCCCAATACTGGACGTTGTTCTCGACTTTGATTTGGCATAGGAGAAGAAATACTTTGGGTTTCTTTCGATTTCATTTATGGCTTTTAGTTCTTCCCGCGATTCCTGACTCCTATAAGATCCTTTAGCTTGAGTTCGATGCTTGCTATTTCTCTGACCAGTGTTTCCCTACGCATTTCAGATATATTGACCTCTTTTAGCCGCTCTGTTATTCTTTTCCGTCGCCTGTAAAGGGAGCGTCTGTCTCTTTCTATTTTGCATCTACTCCTCCTTTTTCTTAAAGGAATAAGCCTTGTGCATACATCGAGTGCCACCAAGTTAATCTGTTCTAGGCATAAGTTGGGGTCTGTGTTGCTTAGTATATCTTCCCAGCTTATATCGGTTAGGACTTGGTTTACTTGGTCCCACTTTATGTTTTTGTTATTGAAGTTGAATTTGGTGAATGCTCCCTCGTGACTAGTCTAATTATGTCGGTCTGGGGCTCCACGCATACATGTCTGAACCTCAATTATGTTGTGATCTGAGAATATTGTTTTTGATATGGTGACATTTCTTATCAGATCATCATTGTTAGTGAAGATGAGGTCTAATGTATTCTCCAGTCTAGTAGGCTCTATTATTTGCTGGTTTAAATTGAATTTTGTGCAGAGATTTAAAAGCTCGCGTGAGTGTGAGTTTTCATCAGAGCTGCCTCTGGTGTTATTACTGCAACAACATTATTTGCTATATTCCTCCATTTAGGTGCCTTAAGTTGAAATCCCCAGGAGCAAGATGTTGGGTGCAGGAGCTGGAAGATTTTCCAGCAGTGGTCAATTTTTAGCAGCTGTTCCTGGAATTGCTGGGATGTTGCATCCGGAGGCTTGTAGACTACCACAATGACTAGGTTTTGGTTCTCGACCTTTACTGCTAAAACTTCCACTACATCATTTGAGGCATTTAGCAGTTCTGTGCAAACAAGTGACTGCAATGTACAGGCCAACCCCCCCCCCCCCCCCCTTCTTTTGCCTGTTCACTCTGTCACATCTGTATAGGTTGTAACCTGGGATCCATATTTCGTTGTCCAAGTGATCCTTTATGTGGGTCTCAGTGAAAGCCGCGAACATTGCCTTTGCCTCTGCAGGCAGTCCACGGATGAAAGGTATTTTGTTGTTTGTTGCTGGCTTTAGACCCTGTATATTTGCAAAGAAGAATGTCATCGGACTGGTGGTATTGTTGGTACTGGGGGGGGGATTTTTTTTCCGGCATTAGTATCTGTATCTGTTGGTTTGGAGTGGAGGCCATCGACTGTGGTTCCACTCCAGGAATGACTGGATTTGGTGTACGATTTCTGCCATTTCCTGCCAGTTTTTTTCCTTCCTGGCACTAAAAAACCTCTCCCTCTTGAGTGGCTGTGGCTACCCAGGTTTTCCCATGGCCTGGATGTTTTGTATCTTTTTGTACCCTTTAGTTGGTGTGCCTGGCAATTTAAGTTATAGCACAGTCTTTCCTGTACTGAAGAGGTACACATTTCAGGGTGAAAAAGCTTACAGGAAGGGAGTTTGCATTTTCCTGTTGTCATATGGGCATGGCATTTTCTAGGGTGGTCATTGTTGCACGTCCCGTCTGTTTTTCCAGATTTCCCATGTCTGCAGATACCAAGTGCATAGTATATGCACAGGCTTGGTTTCCGTTTGCCTTGGGTTTCTGTGACTGCATTCCCTGTTGGTGCATGTTTCCCTGTCTTATTCCTATCCTCCCTAGCACCAACAATGGAGCTCCCACCAGTTGTTTTTGGTAATATATCCTCACTATTGCTAGTGGAGTCCTCTTGTTTGCTATTTCCTGTGGTATTTCTAGTTTGCAATATTGGTTTTATCTTATCTTTGGCTACACTTGTTTCCCCACTACGGCTCCTGTCCCCTATGAGGTCATTTATATGTATTCCTTCCTGCGTATAATTCCCGACTACCTGGACAAAATCTCCAGCTTCACCATTACTGTCTTCCAGGACAGCACCTCCAGCTTCACCATTACTGTCTCCCAGGACAGCACCTCCAGCTTCACCATTACTGTCTCCCAGGACAGCACCTCCGGCTTCACCATTACTGTCTCCCAGGACAGCACCTCTAGCTTCACCATTACTGTCTCCCAGGACAGCACCTCCAGCTTCACCATTACTGTCTCCCAGGACAGCATCTCCAGCTTCACCATTACTGTCTCCCAGGACAGCACTATCAGCCCCACATTTACTGACTACCAGGACATCACCTCCAGCCTTACAGTTTCTGACTACATGGCCAGTATCAAGGGCAGTACCATTTAGCCCAGACTTTTTATGTTCCCATCTGTTGTAGAAAACTTCCAGGTTTTCTATGAAAGCAGCTTTGATGTTATCCTCTTTTAATACCCTTGTGATTTTAGTCCACAGATTTTCCTCATTTGGGCATACCCAAAAACACTTCCCTGTTTTAATACTGCTTGTAGCTAGTTCTTGGATATCTGCACTAGGGGCGTGACACCAATTTCTACAAAAATGACAATTTATCCATGTGGAAGCCTGTTTGATTGACCGCAGACTACACAGGGTTTCATAATGATTTGAATGGTTGATTTACTGTAATTCTACTAGCAACCTCTTGAATACTCTATTAATAACCTCCTTAAATGAAGCTCTAGCTATTTGTATTTCTATTTCTAACTGTACTTGTATATTGGACAGCTTACCGTGTACGTTCCTGATTTATATTTATTGTTTGTGTTTGATAAGGGCGCCTACAACCCCATCCGTTTACAGTCTGCTTTATTGTCCAACGAATCCGTTTGAAACCAGTCAAGGGTTCGGACCAGTCGAGGGTTCGGACCATCAAGGGTTCGGACCAGTCGATCTGATCTGATCAGTGGGTCACTTATTTAAAACATACTAGTCGGTGATTTGGGCTAACACATGAAGGATCTACTTGAAATTATCTACCCGAGTAATATGTGATCTGATTGATACAAAAGTATAACTTGCGTGTTGAAGGTTTATACCAAGTTACAATGTGTATATCACTGGTTTGCAAAATCATAATAACATGGTGCAAAGAAATCATAGAACAGGTGGGATTTGAACCCAGGGGAATTGAGTTTTAAAACTCCAAGTCAGTGTGTATGCCACTGGGTCAGCTGGCTACGAAATATGCCTAGATGGATGGATCTCATTGTAGCCAGGTGGCTCAGTGGCTTACCCACTGGCTTGGAGTTTTACGACTCACCGGCCATGTGTTCAAACCCCAATCGTTCCGTGGTTTATATCAGTGGGGTTATATACTGACAGTATGCTAGGACACAAAATGCGGTTTATGGAATTTTATTGAGAAAACGTTTTACCCATCAGGGACGCACCGATAAGGTGAACGAAACGTTTTTCCAATAAAATTTCACGAAACTCATATTGTATCTCATTAACATACGTTACATGATGTAATAGGCTAAATTACGATAAACAGGAAAAGAAGTAGGAACGAGGAGTAGATATATTAATAATGTTAGGTAAGAGGACATTTTACCGTGGCAACGTTTCGCTCTCCAGAAGCTTATGCACAGCAATTCTTTGAAATAAAAGTGTAAGCGAGAGTAGGACGTCTGTGTTGCGTTAACGGTAGGAGGTTCGAGCCTCCACAGTTCCTTGATCCGTCACGAGTAATATCGCTAAAGCGATATTACTCGTGAGGGATCGTGCACCATTAGCAGGAGAGCTAATGGCGCACGAGGGTTGGACCAAAAACACGAGTGAGACTCAGCACGAAACTCACTAAGGCAGAAGAAACGAAAATCAAAGAAAACAGAGGAAAAGAGAAGAGGAGGAAATAGACACACAACTGACCTGGTCCCTGGTGAGGTTGGACTCCATATACATGCCGTAATAATCCACAGTGAAAATGGGAACACTGAAGGTGAAGTCTTGGCTGGGCTGGCAGTTCTTGGTGGCGTGGTCGAAACCTTGCCCTCGGGGCAACACTTGTGTATGACAAGAGTGGGGCTGGTGCGAGCTAGCGGGTGGTGCTCCACGGGGAAGGAGACAGGATGTCCCTGTAGTGCCTCCTGCAGCAAGGATGCTGGCACTTCTGCTGGAGGATTTCCAGCTCCTGTTCAAGATAAGAATATTTTTTGTATCGATTTGCGCATAATATAAATAACTTTCTTGTGTTATATATTACATTTCATGTGTGTGTGTGTGTGTCTGTACTCACCTAGTTGTACTCACCTAGTTGAGGTTGCAGGGGTCGAGTCCGAGCTCCTGGCCCCGCCTCTTCACTGGTCGCTACTGGGTCACTCTCCCTGAACCATGAGCTTTATCATACCTCTGCTTAAAGCTATGTATGGATCCTGCTCCACTACATCGCTTCCCAAACTATTCCACTTACTGACTACTCTGTGGCTGAAGAAATACTTCCTAACATCCCTGTGATTCATCTGTGTCTTCAACTTCCAACTGTGTCCCCTTGTTACTGTGTCCAATCTCTGCAACATCCTGTCTTTGTCCACCTTGTCAATTCCTCTCAGTATTTTGTATGTCGTTATCATGTCCCCCCTATCTCTCCTGTCCTCCAGTGTCGTCAGGTTGATTTCCCTTAACCTCTCCTCGTAGGACATACCTCTTAGCTCTGGGACTAGTCTTGTGGAAAACCTTTGCACTTTCTCTAGTTTCTTTACGTGCTTGGCTAGGTGTGGGTTCCAAACTGGTGCCGCATACTCCAATATGGGCCTAACGTAGACGGTGTACAGGGTCCTGAACGACTCCTTATTAAGATGTCGGAATGCTGTTCTGAGGTTTGCTAGGCGCCCATATGCTGCAGTCGTTATTTGGTTGATGTGCGCTTCAGATGTGCCTGGTGTTACACTCACCCCAAGATCTTTTTCCTTGAGTGAGGTTTGTAGTCTCTGGCCCCTAGACTGTAGATCCCTTTGGTTCTTGCCTGCCTCTTCGATCGACGTGATTCTCTCAACACTTCACGTCATCTGCAAACAGGGACACTCAGGTTTTCTTCGTCTCATTCGTTCATCAATTCATATTTCAAACAGGACACCAAGTCTACCCCATGCGTTCCTAGAGACCTGACCCCTATGGAACCCCGCCGGTCACAGGTGCCCACTCTGACACCTCGCCACGTACCATGACTCGCTGCTGTCTTCCTGACAAGTATTCCCTGATCCATTGTAGTGCCTTCCCTGTTATCCCTGCTTGGTCCTCCAGTTTTTGCACTAATCTCTTGTGTGGAACTGTGTCAAACGCCTTCTTGCAGTCCAAGAATATGCAATCCACCCACCCCTCTCTCTCTTGTCTTACTGCTGTCACCATGTCATAGAACTCCAGTAGGTTTGTGACACAGGATTTTCCGTCCATGAAACCATGTTGGCTGCTGTTGATGAGATCATTCCTTTCTAGGTGTTCTACCACTCTTCTCCTGATAATCTTCTCCATGACTTTGCATACTATACATGTCAGTGACACTGGTCTGTAGTTTAGTGCTTCATGTCTGTCTCCTTTTTTAAAGATTGGGACTACATTTGCTGTCTTCCATGCCTCAGGCAATCTCCCTGTTTCGATAGATGTATTGAATATTGTTGTCAGGGGTACACATAGCGCCTCTGCTCCCTCTCTCAGGACCCATGGGGAGATGTTATCTGGCTTCATTGCCTTTGAGGTATCTAGCTCACTCAGAAGCCTCTTCACTTCTTCCTCGGTTGTGTGCACTGTGTCCAGCACATGGTGGTGTACCCCACCTCTCCTTCTTTCTGGAGCCCCTTCTGTCTCCTCTGTGAACACTTCTTTGAATCTCTTGTTGAGTTCCTCACATACTTCTCGATCATTTCTTGTTGTCTCTCCTCCTTCCTTCCTTAGCCTGATTACCTGGTCCTTGACTGTTGTTTTCCTCCTGATGTGGCTGTATAACAGTTTCGGGTCAGATTTGGCTTTCGCTGCTATGTCGTTTTCATATTGTCTTTGGGCCTCCCTTCTTATCTGTGCATATTCGTTTCTAGCTCTAAGACTGCTTTCCTTATTCTCCTGGGTCCTTTGCCTTCTACATTTCTTCCATTCCCTAACACACTTGGTTTTTGCCTCCCTGCACCTTCGGGTGAACCATGGGCTCATCCTGGCTTTTTCATTATTCCTGATACCCTTGGGTACAAACCTCTTCTCAGCCTCCTTGCATATTATTGCTACATATTTCATCATCTCATTAACTGGCTTCCCTGCCAGTTCTCTGTCCCACTGAACCCCGTTCTTGTAGTTTGGCTTCATTCGTCCTGGCCTTCCTGCTTCTCCCTCCACTTGTAGCTCTACTGTGTATTCGAAGCTTAAAACCACATGATCGCTGGCCCCAAGGGGTCTTTCATATGTGACGTCCTCGATATCTGCACTACTCAAGGTGAATACTAAGTCCAGTCTTGCTGGTTCATCCTCTCCTCTCTCTCTTGTAGTGTCCCTTACGTGTTGGTACATGAAGTTTTCCAGTACCACCTCCATCATCTTAGCCCTCCATGTATCTTGGCCCCCATGTGGCTCCAAGTTCTCCCAATCGATCTCCTTGTGGTTAGTCACCCATGATCAGGAGCTTTGCCCTGCATGCGTGAGCTCTTCTGGCCACTGCAGCCAGTGTGTCAACCATCGCTCTATTGCTCTCGTCGTACTCTTGCCTTGGCCTCCTGCTGTTCCATGGTGGGTTATACATCACTGCTATTACCACCTTGGGACCTCCAGAGTGAAGCGTTCCCACTATGTAATCACTTTCTTCTCCGCTGTCTCCTCTCCCCAGCTCATCAAAATTCCATCGGTTTTTGATCAGCAATGCCACTCCTCCACCCCATCCCTGTTCCCTCTGTTTTTCCTCAGGATCTGGTATCCCGTTGGAAAGATGGCATCTGTTATCATACGTGTAAGCTTGGGTTCTGTGAGAACTATGATGTCCGGTGATGCCTCTGACTCTTTTGTGCCAATCCTCCCACTTATTTGTTATTCCATCAGCGTTTGTGCGTGTGTGTGTGTGTGTGCATGTGTGTGTAACACAAGGGTCTTACCAGCACCTAAGTCAGTGTGAGTGTTTGTGTGTACATGTCTGTTAGTTACTATTTTGTCCTAGGCACATGTCGATTAGACACTTGGCCTGTTGTACATGCGTGCATACTCATCTAATTCACCTAATTGTGGTTGCAGGGGTCGAGACTGAGCTCCTGAACCTCTTCACTGACCGCTACTGGGTCCTCCCTGTCCCTGTTCCATAGCTTTATCATACCTCGTCTTAAAACTATGTATAATTCCTGCCTCCACTACATCGCTTGCTAGACTATTCCACTTCCTAACAACTCTTTGACTGAAGAAATACTTCCTAACATCCCTTTGACTCATCTGAGTCTTCAGCTTCCAACTGTGACCCCTTGTTTCTGTGTCCCCTCTCTGGAACATCCTGCTCTCTGTCCACCTTGTCTATTCCACGCGTATTTTGTATGTCGTTATCATGTCTCCCCTGACCCTCCTGTCCTCCAGTGTCGTCAGACCGATTTCCCGTAACTTTTCTTCATAGGACATTCCCCTTAGCTCTGGAACTAGCCTTGTTGCAAACCTTTGCACTTTCTCTAATTTCTTGACGTGTTTGACCAGGTGTGGGTTCTAAACTGGTTCCGCATACTCCAGTATGGGCCTGACGTACACAGTGTATAAAGTCTTGAACGACTCCTTACAGAGGTATCGGAACGCTATTCTCAGGTTAGCCAAGCGCCCATATGCCGCAGTAGTTATCTGGTTAATGTGTGCTTCTGGCGATGTACTCGGTATTATACTCACTCCTAGGTCTTTCTCCTTGAGTGAGGTGTGCAGCCTTTTGGCCTCCTAACCTATACTCTGTCTGCGGTCTTCTTTGCTCTTCTCCGATCTTCATGACTTTGTATTTGGCGGGATTAAATTCTAGGAGCCAGTTGCTGGACCACGCATCCAGCCTGTCCAGGTCTATTTGTAGACCTGTCTGGTCCGCGTCTGATTTAATTGTCCTCATTAACTTCACATCATCTACAAACAGGGACACTTCTGAGTCTATCCCTTTCGTCATGTGGTTCACATATACCAAGAATAGCACTGGTCCCAGGACTGACCCCTGTGGGACCCCGCTCGTCACCGGCGCCCACTGTGATATCTCATCAGTGAGCGCCGGTGACGAGCGTGTATGTGTGTTCTCACCTAATTGTACTCACCTAATTGTACTCACCTAATTGGAGTTGCAGGAGTCGAGACACAGCTCCTGGCCCCGCATCTTCACTGATCGCTACTAGGTCCTCTTTCTCTCTGCTTCCAGAGCTTTGTCATACCTCGTTTAAAGCTATGCATGGTTCCTGCTTACACTACATCACTTGTTAGGCTATTCCACTTCCTGACGACTCTATGACTGAGGAAATACTTCCTAACATCCCTATGACTCGTCTGAGTCTTCAGCTTCCAATTGTGACCCCTTGTTTCTGTGTCCCCTCTCTGGAACAACCTGTCTCTGTCTACCTTATCTATTCCACGCAGTATTTTGTATGTCGTTATCATGTCTCCCCTGACCCGCCTGTCCTCCAATGTCGTCAGTCCGATTTCCCTCAACCTTTCTTCGTAGGACATTTCCCTGAGCTCTGGAACTAGCCTTGTTGCAAACCTTTGCACTTTCTCTAATTTCTTGACGTGTTTGACCAAGTGTGGGTTCCAAACTGGTGCTGCATACTCCAGTATGGGCCTGATGTACACAGTGTACAGTGTCTGTGTGCTTGTGTATGTGCGCATGTACTCACGTAATTGTGGTTGCAGGGGTCGAGACTCAGCTCCTGGCCACGCCTCTTCACTGGTCGCTACTTGGTCCTCTCTCTCTCTCTGCTTCCAGAGCTTTGTCATACCTCGTCTTAAAGCTATGTATGGTTCCTTCCTCCACTGCATCACTTGTTAGGCTATTCCACATCCTGACGACTCTATGACTGAAGAAATACTTCCTAACATCCCTATGACTTGTCTGAGTCTTCAGCTTCCAATTGTGACCCCTTGTTTCTGTGTCCCCTCTCTGGAACATCCTGTGTGTGTGTGTATGTGTGTGTGTGTGTGTGTGTGTGTGTGTGTGTGTGT